ACACTTCCCGTTTATTAAGTGAATCAAGTTCGGCTTGTATTGCATCTTTCCATTGTTTCCAATCATGTCTCTTTTGACATTCATAAACAGATTTTGGTTCTGGATCTTCAATTTCCTCATTTATTTACTTGACACACTATATGAGAAAGCATCATCAATATCCTCATGTTCATTTCTATTCCATATCTTCTTATTATGGATGTAGTTGATGGAAATCTCATTATTTCTTTCTGACTCATGATTATCTACTTTTTTCAGTATTCTCATTGTTTGTTTATTCAAAAATACTTTCTGCTATTTTGGGTGTGTCATCTATTTCGATACCCTTTTGTTTTCTAGGATTTTTATTCTTAGAACTAACAGGTCTACCACGCTTCAAGCGTATTTTAAACTCACGTGTATCATCTCCTTTTCCTTCACAATTTAAGATTTTGATACAAGCAGGAGCGTTTGCAGCTGGTATATGAGACTTAGCTACCGTTTTGGTATCCGCAAATGCATCAGGTAGCTGATTCGCTATACTCTGTAAATGCATAATTCGTCAAACTTCTAGTTTTGGCTCTTTAGTAGGAGGATCAAGATATAATAATGAAGGTACAGTCCATTTGATATCATTTCGTATATCTTTGTTTTCTCCCCCTAGAACCGGGAATACTTTCTCATCAAAATGACAGTCAGCAAAACGTGTTGTAAAGATGTCACCAGTCTGTGGTTCTAGGTATCGTATAATTGATGGAGAATCACAGTCAATGTATATTCCTAATCTCTTTTGTGGTCCTATCTTTGTACGATTTGGTGGTGCTACAAGCACATATACCGCACAACCAAAAGTTCTTAAATGAGAAATGTTTGGTTCTCGACCAAACACTAACTGTAGTGGAGAATACTTTTGGTATGCATTTGGTCTGATTCGAATGAGTGCTTCTGCATGCAAAATGGCATGTCCGTACAGAGGTTGGGAGTTTTGATCTCATGATCAATGGTCTTGCAATCAACTGCAGACGCTTAATTAAAGATTCGGCCAAACCATTTTGCATATGAACATGAGCCACATAATGTTCAACTTCAATTCCCCTTACCATACAATAATCATTGAATGCTTGGGATGTGAATTCAGCAGTGTGTCTAATTTAACTTTTTTAATAGTGTAATCAGGGAACTGTGTTCGCAATTTGATTATCTGAGTTAGAAATCTCGCAAATGCCACATTTCGAGATAATAATAGACAAACGTGTGATCATCTACTGGATGCGTCAATCAATACCATAAAATAGTGGAATGGTCCACAAGGTGGATGTAGTGGTCCACATATATCTCCTAGAATTCTTTCAAGGAAATTTGGTGATTCTTTATCAATTTTGGTTGACGATGGCCCTATGATTTTACGCATCATTGTAGTGCCGAGGTGACCAAGACGATCATGCCATAATGTAAACTCTTCTGGATTTTTTTTCACTATAATATTAGATTTGATTTATCAATATAAGTAAGATGCAACCCCAAAGGAAGTTCTGGAAACTTTTTCAATATGTGTTTTCTGCCACATTTATCAGAAGTTACATATATGCACTTCTTTCCATTCTCAGTTGCAGACTGAGTATCATATCCGTGACGATATATGTCTTTAGAGCTCAATAAATTTCTTTTAGAACTTGGGGAATATAGAGCATTGTTTATGGTAAATTTTGTTCCATTTGGTAACGTAAAGTTTGCTTTACCAGTTCCTTTAATCACGTCTGCAGGACCTGATATTGTATTAACAATAATTCTTGTTGGTTTTATGTCAGAGAAATATCACTTTTGTCTTAGAATAGTGTGCGTTGTTCCACTATTTGGTATACAAAGTTCTCGAATCCGCTTCTTGGATTTTGTTCCATTAGCATTATGATTCATTTCTGTAATTGCAATAAACATCAATAAAAAACATGAAATTCATTCATATAATAATCATTTAAGAAAAAACACACAATAATTATACATTAGGTTGATGTTAAAAACATCATTATTTGTTTAAAACATGAAATGTAATAATTATACATAGAAATACTGAATGCTATGTAATAGTCTTATTATAAGCATTTCAGTTTTCTTCTGGAGTAATCTAGTCCAGTTCATTTGCGAAATTAGAAGCTTCGAGGTACGATGTCCCCTCAAAATTTTATGTGAGGTTCACTTCTTTAACTTTGCCTCTTGTGGACTCTTCATACAACTTACACAAATGTGGAGGGGTACGGCAGGTACAGGACCAATGTCCTTTACATCCACATATGTAGCATATAGTTTCATTCTTCTGAGTGGTATTCACATGGGTTTCTTTACCCTTAGAAACTTTTTCGGATCTAGCCCATTTGTTAGATTTTCTACTTAAGATTGTAAGTTTTTCCACGTTTTCTATTGAAACGGCCACCACGACCCCGACTGGATTGGGTTCTCCTCTCTGAGATTTCTATTGTCGTAGCGTTCACTTCCGGGAATGCCTTGGCTCCCGTAGGTCGGGAATTGTGGTTCTTGATCATGAGCTCATTGTTCTTTTCAGCCAACATGAGCGCAACCATCAATTCAGAAAATCTCGTGTACCCACATTCTTCAAATTTCGGGTACGAAGTGAAGTTGTTTGTCGAAGGTGTTGTATGTCTTATTCATCATTTCTGCCTCAGAGACAGGATTACCACAATACTTCAGTAGTGAGACGATCCTCAGGACGGCGGAATTGTATTCCTCAACCTTTTGAAAATCCTGGAACCTCAGGTTGTTCCACTCTTCTAGAGTGTGAGGGAGATTGACTTCCTTCTGGTTATAAAATCTTTCTTTTAATGTTTGCCACAGTTCAGCTGGGTCCTCTATGCTCATCATGCGTAACATTCTCATCGAGGTTTTTCTTCAGAAAAATAATCGCCTCAGCCTTTTGTTTAGGTGGCGATTTGTTACCGATTACAATCGTCTCAGTTGAATTTTTTATCACCAGATAGGGTTTCACGTTTGTGACCCATCCGACATAGTTTTCGCTGGTGATTTTGAGAGCCGGAAACTGAAGATGCTCAATTCTTTCCATTTGTATTTCTAAAACACAATATAATATTTTTTTTTAGAATTTCATAATATTTAAAACGAACTGTTTACATTAATCATGCAAGCAATTACAAAGAAAAACACCGCATAGAAACAAAAAAAAACAAGATTCATGTTAAATTCTATTGGAGTAAATTCTCCAACAAAAAAACTGTACGTACAAGCAAAAATTACAATCACACATAAAATTAAAAGCAAACGAATCATATCATTCTTCAAGAAGAAAATCGGAGATAATTATTTGAACGTATTTGAGAGGATATGAAATATTTTGATAAATTGAATGAACGAAGGATGAGTATATTTATAGATGAAAATTACTGTTCATAGCCACTGAAAAAGGTGAAAATTTTAAATTTTTTCTTTGTGACCATTGGGGTTAAATCGTTTGAACCGAAAATCAGTCTGAAAATATTCTAATAAGCACTCAACCAAATTTAGTAAATTTTATATAGGTGACCAAAAATTTATATAATTACCATAATATAATTAACATGCAATTATCAATATTATTATGGTGATAAAATTATTTTGGTAAAAATATTAAACAAATTATGCGGCGGCACAGCCAAGCCAATACTTATAATGTAATTACCAATCAAATTTTATTAAAGAGGCGACATACCGCCCGCATTAATATTTATAAATAATAGTAAATTAAAAGAACCATTATAAAATAATAAATAGTAATATAGGCGGTATACCGGCCATTATATCGTGGTAAATATGATACATATAAATTTTATCGAATCAGAGAGTAATCATGCTGATAACGTGTTATAAAATAATTTATAATTTTATATTATCTTGAAATTTAAATAAAAGCAAAGTTTTATACCCGTTTGTTTATATAGAGAGTAAAAAGAGAAAGTAACTGTGCGCGCATATTGACAGTGGGCTCCACACAATAAATATGTATACGTAAATGTCAATCTTCGGTGTGTATAATTTTGATGTTTCTTTTTCACATGTTTTTTAACAGTATGTACTCTAAATATTCATTTTTAAATTATAAATAGTTATGTAGAAGAGAAAATTATTTTAATAAATAAATCATTTATTTTTCATTCTTTATAATAACAAATTAAATTAGAGTTTTTATCTTCTTGAGGCAAAAATTGACACTTATCATGCTATAGTTTGCAGAGGGATATTTTCGATTGAGTTTTTTTTTTTTTGGGTTTCATTTTTTCTTTATCAAAATTTGTTAGGTTTTAGTAATTTATGCTCATGAGAATAGGTTTAGCGTCTTCACGTCTTCGTCTTCTTGCGTTAGAGTTTTCACTCCTGCGACCAAAGTTGCAAAGATAAAAGATGGCTATTGTCTCTCTCTAACGTTTCATATCTGCATTGAAAACTAATTTATTCTCAACTTCTACATAATTAACCCACTCTCTCCACCCTTCCCATTCTGCAGCATTAACTAAGCTCATCACAATTTCAAAGTAACCGACAACACAACTTTGAAGAGATCAGGAAGAATAGTCTTTTTAACTTATGGATTACTGCAATGGTGAATTATTTAATATTATTCTGTCTTTATTCAATCACAATAATAGTATCTGTCGAGCAATATGTTATATAGTATGAATCAGCACAAGAAACATTGATGATTGTGTGTATCTGAATACATATTTCTCTATATCTCACTAAAATTCTGACATGTCCCAGCCATTTGAAGTCAATGTCAGTGAGTTTTTCAGTGTCTGGACTTATTAAATAATAGGAAGCTTAGCTTGGGCTCACTTACACATTCATAACTATGGAATGGGTTTTTAATCGCTAAAGTTTGTTCCCATTTTCAAAAACTTCATATATATTGTACAATCTATCAAGATAAGTAAACATAACACCACAAAAACCGTTAAAACCAATGGCTGAATAAAAGCATAATTTTTTCTTTACAACATACTAAGAATGGTCGGGGAACTATGGAGACTCCTCAGGCTGCTCCTCAGGCTGCTCCTCTTGCTGAGCTGAAAAAAGTGTTGCTATAGTAGGAAATAATACCGATGATTCAGCTGAGTCCAAAATCTTTTTTTGAAATTTTAAAAGAAATGTTGATAAAGAATCCACAGTCAGATTATTTCCACCCTATAGTGAGTTTTCACGTTGAAACACAATTTAACAAAGCCACTCATAAATTTCTCTGCAAATTGTAAGAAATGAGGAAATAGAAATGTTCTCGCATTGTGAGTATAAGAATTGTACATCTTTTGGGTTTTAGTTTTTCTTCCGTCCAATGATACTAACGTATTCTTCTTCATGATAGTTAACACAGTATAATTGTATCCCCAACGAGGTTTCGTTTCTTTGCTTAGTTTAGAATTGATTATTAGAATTCTTTACAGAAGAAGCATGTGTTGGATTTTTCAAAACTAATATAATTGATTTGAGTTATCTAATGTGGTATGTTTGTAAAGTTTATGTTCACGCGAGAGGATTGTCAACAAGATGTAAGTTTCATTACTATACCCAGCTGGTGTTATTATCTCTATTCTTTTCACACTCTAGCTATTGGCTTTGTGTTAAACCAGAAGTTCATGAAGATATAGTTCATTTTGACCAAATAATTGTGTGTTGCGCAGAACAGAACAACTACAGAAGCACCTTCCGTATTCTACACCAGAAGAAATCAGGAGAATTGCTGTCAAGTTCGAGGAGAAACTTTTCAGCAGTGTTGTCAATCAGGTAACGCACACGTCCTCCTTTATATTTGTTTCATTAGTATAGCTTTATTATATAGATATCTGTGAGGGAAATACACATGGAAAAGAAGATAATTATTTCTGCTAGCCCCATTATACGGTGGTGTATGAAAGCCATGATTACATGATCCTTATCTTCTTTTATTCCGAACTTTCAGACTGGTTATCTCCGGTCAATATCCATGAAGATGCTAACTGTGGAGACTAAATATCAAACTACAGTTGTTTCTTCTTCTTTTTCTTTACCTTTTCCTGGTGCTTATAACAGTTTACCCTTGAATCTAGGTAAACCCTCCCTTCATGCAAGTAGTAGCAGAAGCTTTTATTTTTCTGTAAGTTTAACGGTTAACCCATTGATCTCTTCATGTAAGCTAGATGTAAGTATATCCTATAAAGTAAAACACATAATAAATGATATGAAATTTTGTTATGTGTTCGAAATATCATCACAATTGATTTGTTAGTCGTCTTGTGAGAGAATTTATAGGTTGTCATAAGATGAGAATCGAAGGCCCGTTCAAAGCAGAGCCTGCTGTGAACAAAAGTGACTGGAGAACTTGTCTGCCACCGGATTCACGCAAGAATAATGCCAACAAAAATGTAAGTTCATCATACGTTCTTACATATGGTTCTATGTGACCTGTAAAATATGCTCACGTTGAAAATAGATTACTTGTTTCTGTTCTTTTGTTGAAACAACTTTCAGACTGGGGATCAAAGTATTGTTTTAGACTTTTAGGTATTGTTTTACTATATCCATGTTGTGAGTTTGGAGATTTCTTTTAGATCATTCACTATGGTTTGACTGTGTTTAATGATTCAATGTACATTTTTTTCATCAGAAAGAACTAACTCAAAGATTTGAAGTGGTCTTTTGCATGTGACTATTTGTAATTTTCTAGGATTTATGGTGGAGTAAAGAGTTGTGGTAAATTTGTATGTTAGCTTTACTCTCTCTAAACCAAAGAATATAATGCTTTGTTACATTCACTCATCTATGTTGAAAAAAAATCAATTTTATTAAGTCTAAATTTATATCACTTATAAATGTCTATAGTTAGATGATTATGAGTTTTCTCCTTTCAAAATATTTTTTTATGAAATTAATAAATTATTTTAAGAATAATACACTAGAAGACTTTCACTGAAAAAATTTTAGAAGACTTTCCGTGGAAGACTTTAAAAGACATTGGAAGACTTAATTTTAAGCACGAAACCTAATTTTTTTTAGAATTTTAAGCGGGAACCTTGATTTTAAACGGAAAACTGTTATTAAGTCTTCATAAGTCTTCCAGAACCCCAAAATCAAAGAGTTCAAATATATATAACTAAATCACATAAAAAACTTTATCAAACTAAATTAAACTTATAAAGTGTTTAATCTACACAAAACTAAACACATATAGCTTAATTTTAATTTTTTTAAAAAATGTTAAGATTCCACAATATAACCCTAAAACACACATACAATACTACAACATAATTACCAAACCCTAAACGAAAGAATATCATGACAAACTTATATTCACTATCTATCTTGAAAACTATTCAGTTTTATTAAATCTATATTTACATCATTTATAAATGTCAATAATTACATGATTATGATTTTTTACTAACCAAAGTATTTTTTCTTAAATTTATAAATTATTTTTAAGATCTATAGCATCAGAAGACTTACCTGTAAGTCTTCTCACTCGCAAGGTTAAAATGGTAAACTATAATCCTTTTTTTTTGTTTGGTCATGAGGGGATATTTGTAATTTCACTAGCCTTTTGAGTTACTTTGTCATTTGATTTGAGTTTGGGTACACTTTTGCATTTAAAATCAAGTTTTGAATCATATTTGGCAAATACCTCAATCTTAATCCATATATAACAATAGAACTGAATACTGAAAACGTAAATATATTCTAATTCTAGGTTTCTGAATAATAATCTAACTGTAATATGTTTTTTCACTTATTCGTTTTGCTTCAATATTATTTCTATTACCAGTTCGTGTGTATGAAATAATTAACTCTCGTATTTTATTTTACTAGCTGCGTAGCCCCACGCAAGCGCGGAATACTTGTCCTACACAAGACCAGACATAGCCTACAGTGTCAATCGCCTATTGCAGTTCATGCATAAGCCTACGAATGTACACTGGCAAGCCACGAAGCGCATCCTTTGATATCTTTCCAGCACTCTAACGCATGGTATTTTTCTCAGTCGACACTCCCCTATACATCTTCATGCTTTCTCGGATGCAGATTGGGCAGGAGATACAAATGATTTTGTCTCCACCAACGCCTATATTGTCTATCTTGGCTCCAATATGATAGCTTGGTCTTCCAAAAAGCAGTCAGGAGTTGCTAGATCATCAACGGAGGCCGAGTACAGGTCTGTGGCAAATACCGCTTCTGAACTTTGCTGGGTAACTTCCCTCCTTTAAGAACTTGGTGTCCAACTCCCGTCAACTCCCACAATCTACTGTGACAACGTCGGAGCTACTTATCTCAGTGCCAATCCTGTTTTCTATTCTAAGATGAAACACTTAGCTCTCGACTTCCATCGATACGGGATGCTAGTTCCGTCGAGATCAAATCTCCAGAAACCTTGACGAACTATTCGTCTTTTGTCTCCTTTTAGTTTTAGGGTTTACTGAGGTTGGCGGCTACTAAAAATTGGACCCATAACTTAATCTTATAACATGTATATATATGAAGACGTTGAACGTACGTTAGGTCACATGGGATGGGCTGGGCCAATTATTAATTTGCACCCACGTTTACCCATTACGTTAATATATTGACATGCACCTTATAAGATTACATATATCATATATATGATTATTCATAAACCCAATATTGATTTATTCTATATTGAAACCAACTATTATTTTATCTAATTTGTTTAGGTGTGTGACCCTGTAGGATCATATAATATTAGTAATGAGTTCTTAATTCATAGATTATAAGCGGTTTCTAGCAAAACATTATAACCACCTAATATTATATGATTGTCGAACCTCGACGTTACGACTTTAATTAGAGTAAATACAAATGATTTTAGGACATTCCCAACATCTCATTGGCATCATCGCCTTGGACACCCTACTTTTCCTATTCTTAAAACTATTACTTCTTCGTTTTTATCTTCTGCTTTATGTAATGCTTTGGAGTCTACTCCCTGGAATTTTTGTTTACTGATTAAGAGCCACAAATTTCTTTTTTCTACCATTACGATTTCATCAACTCATCCATTACATGTTTTATTTTCAGACGAATGGACCTCACTAGTCCTAAGTGTTGTTGGTTATAAGTATTACTTGCTTATTGTTGATCATTTTACACGTTACATGTGGTTTTTCCCTCTTAAACTGAAGTCGCAGGTAGCAGCAACATTCACTCGGTTTAAATCTTTGGTCGAAAATCAATTCAATAAACGCATCCGCACTCTCTATACCGACAACGGTGGTGTATACATTGCCCTTGCCTAGTTCCTTGCAACACACGGTATCTATCATCTCACAACTCCACCACACACACCGGAACACAACGGTATGTCTGAAAGACGCCATCGACACATCGTGGAAACCGGTCTTTCCTTACTCACACACGCCTCAATTCCCCCACACTTACTGGACGTACGCATTTGCTGCAGCAACTTATCTCATCAATCGCATGCCAACAAAAACACTCTCCATGACGTCTTCATACTCTCAGTTATTCTCAACAGAACCGCATTACGCAAAGCTACGAGTGTTTTGTTGCTTATGCTACCCGTTGCTTCGTCCATATAGATCTCATAAGCTTGACTCTCGCTCCCTTCCCTGTGTTTTCCTCGGGTATTCTCTAACTCAGTCAGCTTATCTTTGTCTTCACTTACCAACATCTCGTCTTTATGTATCACGTCATGTTGAGTTTTGTAAAAGCATTTTTCCTTTTTTCAATTCCCACTCCATCTTCTGCTCACCAGGATGAGCCTGAATCCTCTTGGGTTCCGACAGTGACTCCACTAGACAATGTTTTCAGGTCACTTAAGGCTCCTCCCACACCGGCTCTGCTCACGTGTTCAGAACGTTTACCAACAACCGCTACAACAGCAGCAACGGGTCAACCACAATCAGCATCAACTGCTACAGATCAATCATCATCTTCAACAGCAACAACACCTCACTCTGACACCCCTGGTTCCTCGCTGCAACCTGCACCAGTCAACACCCATCAAATGGTCACTCATGCAAAGAATCAAATTCTCAAGCCTAATCCCAAGTACACATACTCTGTTAATCTTGTGCTTGCAAGCCTTGATCCAAAGACGGTGACACATGCACTGGCAGACCCTCGATGGCGAGACTCTGTCAGTCAAGAATTCAACAAATTTATACGCACTGATACGTTCGAGCTCGTCCCACCCTCTCCGGAACAGAACGTTGTTGGTTGTAGATGGCTGTTTCGAACCAAATTCTTACCAGACGGCACCGTGGACAAATGCAAATCCCGCTTGGTAGCTAAGGGTTACACTCAAAGGCCAGGAATTGACTTTCACGAAACATTCAGCCCTGTCGTGAAAGCTCCAACGATTCGCATCATCATCAGTGTTGCAGATCTATAGGGAAGTAGTCGTGGTGGAAAGGATTGGTTGAATCGAGATTGTGATAGCGCCTAGTAAGGAGCTATAGATAAACTGATCCTGCCGCTTCCATAAGGTGTGTTCAGGGTTTGACGATTCGACGCCGTTAAGAGTGACAGTCGGAGGAGGAGCAACAGACGTGCCGTCGATGTAGCCGAGGAGAGCGTAGCCATCAAGTAAGGCACGAACCTGACGACTCCACATCATGAAATTGGTGGCGGTGAGCTTAATGACATTGTTCATGTTCACATTGAGGAGGTTTGGTGTATTGGGGACAATCACAGTTTCATTGGAGGAAGTCGACATGTTTGTCATGGAGGAGAAAAAGAAAGCGTGAAAGCTTTGAAAAAGATGTTTGGCGGCTAGAAAAAAAATGAGATCCCTAGGTATCACTGCTCTGATACCATACAGAATGTAATGGCTGAATTGAGTTTACTAGATGGTATAATACAATATATATACTGAGTACAATATGTATTCTAGGGATTACATAAAGTCATAAGTACCCTTATATACAATTACTCTACATTAACTTTCTGTGTGTTTTTTAGAAAAGAATGGTAGAAATTTTTGAATTTTCTTTTTTTGCCAAATTTTTTTTGAGAAGACTTACTTGGAAGTCTTCTCGGATAAATAGGTTAGTTTTGCAATTGGCCAATCTGTGTCAGAAGTTTAACTTTCTACGGAAGACTTACCTGGAAGTCTTCTCAACCTCTACATTAAGTCTACTGAAGTCTGCGTATGTTACTTTTGCAATTGAAAATTTAAACTTAAAACATTTAGTTTAAATTGAGAGATTTCTAGATAATTCTTCAGAGCGGAAAACTTACCTGTAAGTCATCTAGATAAGTCTTCTGCAGAAGACTTACTCGGAAGTCTTCCAGATTTTTATTCTGTGATTTTGGTCAAACCTAAGGTAATCAAAGAAGACTTATGTGTAGGTCTTCTGGCCAGAAGATTTACATGTAACTCTTCTCAACAAAAGTTAAATATAGTCAATTGCAAAAGTAACCTACGTAGACTTCAGTAGACTTAATTTAAAGGTTGAGAAGACTTCCACGTAAGTCTCCGGCAGAAGACTTACTTGGAAGTCTTCCGTAAAAAGTCAATTTTCTAACACAGATTGGTCAATTGCAAAACTAACATGTTTATCCGAGAAGACTTCCAGGTAAGTCTTCTCAGGTATTTTCGAGAATTTTAGATTAGAAAAGTAAGCCAATATTTACATAGGAAGACTTCCACAGAAGTCTCCTAAACGGAAGACTTACTTGGTAGTCTTCTGCCAAATAAACTTTCATTTTCTTCAAATTTAAAATGAATTCTTAAGATCTTTTTTGTTAATTCATTTGTTTTAAACAATATTTGGGGTCCTGAATAGAATACATCACTTAACTGGGGATAATTATGAGGTTACCAACATTCATGTTTTTTAATCTTTCTAGCTAATGATAGAAGACTTATGTGGAAGGTTTCCACATTAGTTTTTGTAAACTTGTATTTTTAAGAATGTTCAGTAATTTAAAATAAGTTTTTTAACTTTCAAAAGAGTTAAATAGTTTCAAGAAGTATATAACGTGTACATGAAAATGAAGTTAGAAGAGTTAACCAACTCATTACATCTTACTTGTTTATAATTATAAAATTTATTGGTTTTACTTCTTACAAAACTTTGTTGGTTTTACTTCTTACAAGACTTTGTTGGTTTTACTTCTTAGAAGTTTAAAGTGATGAACAACTATTGTAAGTTAATGAGAAGAAATTGTTTATAGTTACAAATTTATATTTCTTTTTGCAGAGTATGAGAGATCCAAAGATGAGAAGAACTACACAAAGAACATCATGTTTTGAATATGAAGGCCAATGAAGTTTTTTATTTCCTTGATTTGTAAAAGTGGAAAACACATTGTTAGCACATATCTTACATCTTGTTTACTTTAATAATGTGAAGTAATTTTGGATAATAAACATATTTACCATATTTTTTATTAATATTTTTCAAATTCACAAAAAAATCACAACTAAAGAGTACACATACAAATCACAATACATACCACAAATAAAACTTTATAGCTCATTCCTCCACAAAGACAATCTTGGACTCCACTTGATATGAGAGAAGATTTCCAAGAAGACTTAAGATTATGTCAGGAGACTTAAGACTATGCAGAAGACTTAAGACTATGCAAGAAGACTTAAGAAGACGTCAGAAGACTTAAGACGATGTCAGAAGACTTCCAGGAAAGTATTCCGTAAGTCTTCCGATGTCTGTCTCAGATCTGAGAAAATCTGCATATCCAAAAACGTTCAAATGACATCAAAATAGAGAAAAAGTAAAAAAAAACAATGGTTTTAAGCTTAAATAATATCTAAAACAATCACATTATGTTGAATCTATAACTTACTAGAATCTAACATATAAAAAAATACATATAAAACATTTATAGATCTACCCACAAATGAGTGAAAGATGACAACTATGTAAGAAAAACCTGCAAAAACAAGATAAAATAGTGAGAAACACATAAAATGAGAAATTGATATAATTTGGTATTTTAATGTTTAAAGAGATTAAAAAGAGGTTGGATAATTTTAGTTTGGAAAAAATATAAGAACTTTATGCAACAATAGAATACTAAATGAAGAAATTCAGACATGAAAGCTTACTAAAACGTTCAGATATGTTGTGAAAGAGAAGACATGGAAGAAGACTATGCCAGAAGACTTAAGATGACGTCAGAAGACTTAAGACAATGTTAGAAGAACTAAGACGACTTCAGAAGACTTCCAGAAAAGTCTTTTGTAAGTCTTCCAATGTCTGCCTCAGATCTGAAAAAAACCTGCACATCCAAAATCGTTCAAATGACATCAAAACAAAGAAAAAAATCAAAAAACAATGTTTTAAGCTTAAATAATAACTAAAACAACCACATTATGTTGAATCTATAACTTATTAGAATCTAACTTATAAAAGACACAAAAATACATATAAAAATTTTATAGATCTACCTTTAAATGAATGAAAGATGACATTTATGTAATGAAAAAACTGCAAAAACATAATAAAATAGTGAAAAATAAATACAAATGAGAAATTAATATAATGTTTGGTGTTATCAAATTGAAATAGTTTAGAGAGAGGTTAGAGAATTTTAGAGTGAGAAATATTACATATTTGTTGCCTCTATTTGAAAGGAAAAAGTGAATCTCTAAATTTTTATTTATATAAGAAGACAAAAATTCTAATTAAGTTAAATATTTTCGATACGGAAGACTTTTGAGGACCTTAAAAGACTATTCACCCAGAAGACTTACTATTCGTCCAAAAGACTTACTATTTGAGCGGAAAATAGTAAACTATGGAAGACTTAAGAAGACTATTTATAAATTATTTTAAGAAGACTTTGGAAGACCTTAAGTAGGTCTTCCGAGGTCTTCGAATGTCTTCGAAAGTTTTGACTCTGGAAGACTTACTGGAAGACTTTAAGTATGTATTCAGAGGTCTTCGAAGGTCTTCCAAAGTCTTCTTATGTCTTCCATATTATCGTGACTAACTTACATTCACTCATCTATGTTGAAACAATTCAGTTATATTAAGTCTAAATTTATATCACTTATAAATGTCTATAATTAGATGATTATGATTTTTCCCATATCAAAATATTTTTTATGAAATTTGTAAATTATTTTAAGAACTAATACACTAGAAGACTTTCCCTAGAAGACTTTAGAAGACATTGGAAGACTTAATTTTAAGCGGGAAACCTAAATTTTGAGCGAGAAACTGTTATTAAATCTTCATAAGTCTTCCTAAAACCCAAATCAAATATATATAACTATATCACATACAAAGACTTTATTAAACTTATATTAAACTTATAAAGTGTTTAATCTACACAAAACTAAACACATATAGCTAAAATCTACTTTTTAAAAAAATGTTTAGAATCCACAATCTAACCCTAAAAGCACATACAACACTACAATATAGTTACCAAACCCTAAGACTCCCGATCACCATTTGGTAATCTGTGGGATTGTCCATTGGCGTTCCCGACGATAAGGAGAGCTTCGGGGTGGTCGCTTGTGATGTTGTTATTGGCTTTGCATCTAGCATATGCATCTTCGTCAAGAGATCGATAATATACTTCTTTTGCATAAGGTGGAGACCATTGTGGGTTCTTGTGACCTCGATACCCAAGAAGTAATGAAGATCAGTAGGATCTTTCAGGGAGAAGCGCAGGAGAGCACATGAATGCACGCGAAGACCATGGAGAGACTGTTCCCAGTGATTATGATGTCGTCAACATAGACAAGGATATAGAGTACATGAGCACCTTGAATGTAGATGAAGGCGGACGTGTCAGCACATGAGTTGTAGCATCCCATTTATAAGAAAAATGTCTTGAGTTCTTGATACCAGACCCTCAGAGCCTGTTTAAGCCCGTAGAGCTTTGTGCAATCGGCAAACATGGTGAGGACGATCACGGTCAACGAATCCTGGCGATTGAGAGACAAGTTCACCATTAGACAAATACTTTAGTGTATGAATCCATTTTGAGCTAATGACATTTTGATTTGGCGCCAGGGGAACCACTTCGAAGGTCTTACTAACATTCTGAGCATTATACTCAACGCTCATGGAGCGTCACCAATTCTCATCTCGCATGGCCTGGTGGATGGTTGTGCGGATGGTAATGGGTGGTTTTGTGGTAGTGACGTTAAGAGTAAGCTTTTTGGTTGGTTTGGAGATGTTGTTCTTCGAGCGGGTGCGCATCGAATGAACATTTTGGTTCTGTGGTTTTTGAGGGTCAGATGGTTGAGCAGGTGGTTGAGTTTGTGGAATCGGGTTTGGTTCTGGTGTGGGAGGTGCGGTGTTGATGCTAGGAAGAATCGGAGGTGCAATATCTAACGATGTAGCTGGTGAACGATTTTCCGTACCCATTACATTACTCTGTGCCGGAGAACTAGAGTGTGTAGAAGACGAAGATGAAGTCAACGTGAGGTGAGGATCCTGGATCAGGAAGGCGTTGATGAAGGAGAGTGTACGAGTGAAGGCTGAGGAACAGGTATTAGGGTAGGCGGAGTAAAGTAAGGCGGAGTTGTGTCTGGATCGGTTGTTCTGGCAGGAGCCGGTGTAGCAAAGGGAAACTCCGACTTCATCAAAGTTACATGTCTAGAGGTGTAGACACGGCCAGTTGGACGGTGAGGACAAAGATACCCACTTTGCGTAAGTGAGTAGCCAATGAAGACACACTGAAGAGAGCGATCATCAAGCTTGTGTTTGGTGTATGGGCGAAGCCAAGGAAAGCATGAGCATCAAAAGACCCGTAATTTAAGGTAGTTAGGAGGCTTCTCAAACAACATGGCATAAGGCGATCTATGGTGCAGCACCGAGGATTGTTGACGATTGATTAAATATATGGTGACTGCGAAAGCATATGTCCAGTATTCAGTGGGCATCTCGGCTTGATGAAGAAGTGTCAGGCCTGTCTCAACAACATGTCAATGTTTTCTCTCAGCGATACCATTATGTTCGGGCGTATGAGGAGGGGAGGTGAAGTGTGATATGCCGTTAGTTGCCAAGAACTGTTTGAGAGCAAAGAATTCACCCCCGTTATCGGAATAATAGTTGCGGATTGGTAGATCAAAATGCTTCTCGACAATGGCTTTGAACAAGGGAAATATGTCTTGCACTAGGGATTTTTTCTTAAGGGGATAGAGCCATGTGTAACGGGTAAAGTGATCAACAAAAATGAGGTAAGATTTGTAATGATCAATGGAGAGAATAGGGGAAGTACAGACATCAGTATAGAAATATTGAAGAGGTTGGGTCGAAGAGATTGTGTTTGAATGGAAAGAAAGTTTGTGACTTTTATTAATAAGTCAATGAGAACAAGGTAAAAGTTTTTGAGAAGAAACTGAAACAGGTAAAGAAAATTGAGAAACAACAGTCTGCAAAGTATGAGAAGAAGGGTGTCCCAAGCGCGAGTGCCAGTAGGTAATGGAATTTTTTGGTGTTGGTGAGGCAAAGAGGGTGATGGTGTTGCGGTTTGTAACTGGCCACTCGAACAACTCGTCTTTAGTCTTGCCTTGGAGTAACCAGACCCCCCTGCTGAGCTCCTTCACCTGAAAATGGGCAGGAAAGAATTCAACAGACACATTGTTAGAATTGCAAAACCGATTAACAGAGATGAGGTTTTTCTGTAAGTTAGGCACATAAAGAACATTATTCAAGGAGTAGGAGCGAGTAGGAGTTAAAAGAGATGTAGAACCAGTATGCGAGATGGGAAATGTTGAGCCATCAGCGATGGTAACTTCCTCTCCTCCCGTGTACGGTTGAAGGAGAGCAAGATTTCTTAAGTTTATGGTGAGGTGGTGCGTCGCGCCACTGTCTAGGATCCAGTTGTTAGGATTGTAAGACTGCGCCATAGCCATGTTGGCTCATGGTTGCCACGATGTTGGCGATGGAGGCGTGTAGCGAGGGCCAGAAGCTGAAGCATTGGAGTATCCTTGAAGCTGCGAGCAACGACGTGCACTATGTCCATAGGTACTGCACAGTTGACAACGACCTTGATATCCGCGCGATTGATTATCATTTCGTGTTGCCATTTTTTGTTGTTGCCAGGTCTGGTGTCCTTTGTTGTTGTTGCGGTTCTGACTTTGATACTGTTGGCGATTGTTGTTGTTGTTTCCCTTGAACTGAGCGGCATTAGCAGTCACCGGTACCACCGTTTACACAAGGTTCTTCGTGTGGAGCGTCACTTCATGATTGAGAAGCTTCTCATGAATCTCAGTGATGGAAGGTGGAGACTCACGACTCTCAATTTGGTCCACAATCTGCTTGTAGTCTTCAGGAAGTCCTTCGAGTATAAACTCGATTTGGTCTTCGATATCAAAGGGTTTCCCAAGTAATGCCAGCTGATCGAAACGCGTGGTGAATTCTTAAACATACGCATCAATGGACATGGTGCCTTTCTTCCATGTCTTGACTTGTTGGCGAATTTGCTGGATGTGGGCTCGACTTGGTTAAGCGTACGTCGCATACAGGGTAGTCCAACTACTTGGGATTGGCCACTTCGACAACTTGACATCAACAATGCTTTTCTACAAGGATCGCTTAATGAGGAAGTTTACATGAAACAACCACTGGGCTTTGTTGACAAGGATCGTCCTGATTATGTGTGTAAACTCAAGAAACCGATCTATGGCCTCAAACAAGCTCCACGCTCATGGTATAATGAGCTCAAACGGTTTCTCGTGCAGTCTGGATTTCGTAACTCATTTGCAGATGCTTCCTTGTTCTACTTCAAGGATAAATCGGTGACCATGTATCTACTAGTGTACGTCGATGATATAATCATAACGGGAAGCTCTACAACTGCAGTACGATCATTCATTGATCTTCTTCCCAACCGCTTTTCACTCAAAGATCTTGGAGATCTCTCTTACTTCCTTGGAATCAAAGTAATGCGATCCAGCTCTGGTGTGACACTCTCACAAAGGAAGTACATCTCTGATCTTCTCCATCGTACTCCTATGACAGGTGCAAAGCCTACTGCAACTCCCATGTGTTCCACCTCGTCCTTGTCCCTCAATGATGGAACGCCACAACCTGATGGGAATGAGTATCGTACAGTGATTGGAGGACTTCAGTATCTCTCTCTCTCACTCGACCCAACATATCATTTTCTGTCAGCAAGCTTTCACAGTTTATGCATAAGCCCACAACAACACACTGGGAGGCAGCAAAACGAGTTCTTCGGTATCTCGCTGGCACGATAACGACTGGTCTCTTATTCAAGCGCTCTAACTCACTATCACTTCATGCTTTCTCTGATGCTGATTGGGATGGAAATCGTGATGACTACACCTCTACTGGAACTTATGTTGTCTTTCTTGGTCAACATCCTATCTCCTGGTCTGCTAAAAAGCAAACGTGTGTAGCCAGATCATCCACTGAAGCTGAGTATGGGTCTGTTGCTAACACTTCTGCAGAAGTTCGATTGGCCACCTCCCTTCTTCATGAGATTGGTGTTCCTATCTCTGCCATTCCTACAGTCTACTGCGACAAAATTGGTGCCACATACCTTGCACCAAACCCTGTCTTTCATACTAGAATGAAGCACTTGGCACTGGACTACCACTTTTTACGAAACCAAGTTCAGTCCAACACTCTTTGGGTAACACATGTTTGCTCAGCTGACCAGTTAGCCGATGCCTTGCCAAAGCACTAGCACGTCGTTGGTTTGAGTCTTTGTTCATCAAGATCAGACTTGTAAATTGCCGTCCGTCTTGAGGGAGTGTATTGGATATACTTAAATTATGATAACTACAAATCTATGATATCTCGTATGTACATATCCTTAGAATATGCTAAGTATATTCCTCTGTATTGTAACTATATATATTGTACGTTGATCAGTATCATTCTCTATAAAGTTCTTTACAGAGTTGGAGGTAGATGCTGCCACGGTGGCTCGGTGTTCCACCGTAGCGGGAACATCTGATGTCACGAGGCGGTACAGAGCGGATGGACAGTCCAGTTTGTATGTGTCTGAGAATCTTTGGATGCTTGGGACAGTGTCTTTGAGGGTCTTGAAGTGGAGAATGAGTTTGTTGCATTCAGATTCGTAGTCTGAAGGAGTGATTAGGTCTCTGATGTAAGCTTTCTCGAGCTTCTCTGTTGCTTTGATGATTGCAAAGAGCTCTGCGAAGTTCTTGTACATCTCTCTTTCCCGCTTGTCGTTCCATAACTTCACCTCCATCATCATAACTTAGACGCGCACAAGAGTGAAAAGATCAAGAGCTTCCTTCCTTTCTGTATCAATGAAGCAGAGAAACAATCAGATTATAATAGAGGAAAAGAAAAGCAAGCAAGAATCATCTTGACAATAAAAGGAACCTATGAGTAGGCTTGTAATAACAGTTCTTCACCAAAGATAAGAAGTGTGATGCCCCAAAAACACAAACACAGTAAATGTAGAAACGAACAAACAAAGAGCAGAGAGAATCATCTATTACTTCTCGAGAAAATCAAAATCTCATATTTATTTATCTAAGTTAAACTCTAAATAACCAGACACAGTAGAAAACATATTGAAAATCAATCAAAAACCTATGAAGAAAAGCTATTAATAATATTATATTTTGAGAAAGTAAGTTAATTCGTATATTCTCTATAATTTTAGGTAATTTTAATTATTTTTCATGTTTTAATAATTTCATATAGTATTATTAAATAATAAAACAAATTTATATGTATTAGATTGTTATTTTGAAAATATATTTTCTGTAATTTTGCTTATTTATCACAATTTAATAGTTTCAAGACTTTCCCAAACATCAATATACGCAAATAGTGAATCATTAACTAATCATAAAATTTATATCACACATCTGTTTACACAACCAACTTAAATTGATGTTAAAATGTACAGTTAAATTATTATTGTAGAGATTTGCAAAATTCTTTCTATCTAAACCCATACCACAGTATTGTTAGATTATATACAACAATGATCACTCTCATAAATATAATAGTTACAACTTAACTGAAGTACCGTACTTTTTTCATGTTTGTTGCAATTTTATACATATCAAAACTCATTTGAAATCATAAACACTCATGGTTAAATGTGATTTTATTTAAATCTGGTGAAGAACATATTAACCCATTTACATATCTATATGTATTTAACAGAATATATATAAAAAGTATTTTTCTAACATTTTTCAAAAATTTGTTCGGTTTTCGGTGGCGGTTGGATTTGATATTGGTTTTCGGATATAACATCTTAAGAACCATTCGAATATATAAGCCATGTCTAATAGAGTAAGATACTTTAATTTTTGGATCTATTCCGAATTGGGTTATTTTTGATAGAAATATTCTTGATTAATTATGTTAAGTATTTACTAAGAAAATATTATGCTGCAGACTTTAGGAATAAAGTTAAAAATTAATTTCTGAAATGCATATGACACAAGTGTATTTTTATGCAACTTGATATATTTAATATAGTTACGAATAATTATGATAAATAAAACACAAATATAAAAATTAAATTTCTAAATAAAATTAAAATAAAAATATATCTGACCTTAATTAAATTAATATAAAACAAAAATATGATTACAAAAAAACACAAATATAAAATTAATTTTCTCAAAATAAATTAAAACAAAAAATATGCTCGCCTTTTTAAAGGACGGGTCAAAATCTAATATCCCAATTAAATTTAAATGCAAAAGTATATAATAAAGTATCAGACCGGTGACTAATTCAAACTGGTCTTGGTTTGACTTGATTTAGATTTCAGATGTTCTCCCATCTACCTGTCTATATCTATATTATTATTTGAGAATTAAATTTAATTAATTGTTAAATTCGCCAAAATTTTAGATAATTTTGATTACTTTGTTATATTTCAATAGTTTAATATTTAATATATAATAAAAATGTTTCTATTAATAATATTATATTTTGAGTAAAAAACTTAATTCATATATTCTCCATAATTTTAGTTAATTTTGGTTATTATTTCATGTTTTAATAGTTTCATATCGTATTATTACATAATAAAACAAATTTATCTGTATTAGATTGTTATTTTGAAAATATATTTTCTGTAATTTTTCTTATTTATCATATTTTAATAGTTTCATATATAATTTATTATAATAATAAAAACAAATTTATATTAATAATATTATATTTCGAGAAAATAAGTTAAATCTTATTTATAGGTTGTTATCATGAAAATATATTTTCTATTATAAAATTTAAGTGAGTTTTCTTACTGATAGTAAATTTTTGTACTTTAGATCATTTGCCATATATTTTTACCAATTTCATATATATATTTAATTATATAATAAAAAATTATATTATAGATATTATATATTAAGAAAGTAAGATAATTTTTATGTATTATATTGTTATCTTGAAAAGATATTTTCCTATTCTAGAAATTAAAATTAAGATATAAAACAATTATAATTAAATATAAATCAAGAAATGCTGATTTGTCAACTTCTCCATGGTTTAAGTATTTTTTTCATTTAATATTTTTATATACAATTTATTATATAATAAAAACAAATTTTTATTAATAATATTATTTTGTAAAAAATAAGATAGTTTTATGTATTATATTTTTATCTTGAAAATATATTTTCTATTATAAAATTTAAATGAATTCTTTTTTTTTAAATATAATTTACTATATAATAAAAATTAGTTTCTATTAATAATATTATAATTTTTAAAAATAAGATAATTCTTATGGTCATCTTGAAATATATTCTTCTATTATAGAAACAAAAATTGGACGAAGCAGCTAGATCATCTTCATAGTATTGGGAAAAATGATCGATTTCAATGTGAATCTTTTTAAGCTGAAGGTGTTTTTGTATCAGCAAAGAAAACTGAGGTTGTTGCTATGTCTGCTACAAAATCAGAGGTTAAAGTGTCAACTGGGAATGCAAAAATAGGAAAAGCTGCAACTGATGTGAAGAATATAACTGCTACGAATATTGCTACAACGACTGCTTCGGGTAATGTTTCTGATCTTAAGTGGGCATTGAATAAAAGCTCCGGCCTCTTTATCATCACTGTGGTTTTATTGGAAACATTAGACCAAGGTGTTTCAAGTTATTGAGAGAGAAGAATCAGATGGAGCAAGCTTATGGTATGAGGTGTCACGGTCCTATATGTTATTCTTGTGGAGTCCAACGTCATATTTGACGTGACTTTTTCAAGTCTGTTCAAGGAGCAAATCATTTGGGGTTAGGAATATGTTGTCTAAGATATTTGACCACTATGAAGATGGTGGAATGAGATGTCATCCTTACTTTGGAGGATATCGATCTTCCTATTAGTTTTTAACCATGATGACTCATAGGGGGGACAGAAGATGTGGTGTTTTATCGAGAGGTGATGAGTTCACATGGATAGTCAAAGGAAGAGATTTAAGATATATATTTCGTATCAGTTTGTGAAGTACTACATGAGGTAGTACATACGTGTGTCCTCAAAATGGGTCTGGTTGGAGTTTTTTTTGTTTTTGTGATGTCTGTGGACTTGTTAGATTGGAGAAGAGGTAACATATTATTGGGATATTTACATTTAGTGTAAATATATAGAAAAGGGAGTTACTGCTTGAGAGAAAAAGGAAAATTACTTAGTTGATTTTGTAAGAATTTAGGGAGCAAATTCTGGTTATCTATACAAAGGGGACATGTTCTATGAAGAAAATTATTTTTACAGAATAAGAAAATCGAGAGAGTTTTGTTGGTGCTTGTGTGATCAAGTTTCTGATGGTGCTTCTCTACATTAGGTACTGACGTAGTTGTCGATGTACTTCTTGAGTGTTGGAAGAATGAAGTCTAGCTTCGGGGGGGGGGGGGGATGGGTTAGTTCTGAGTTTGGCAATCCTGATAAATCAAAATCTAGACTCTAAGTTGAAGTTTAGCTTAGATCTGGGATACACTAAATTGTAATAGAAAATATTGGTTGTAAACGCTTTCTTGTTCTAGTGAATTCAAAAAGAGAAAAATTTGTATCTTGTTTATTTCTGCACTCGATAATAACCTGCGCTTTGCGCGAAATGAGATTTTTTTTTTTGAAACACTTTCAGAGGACATATTATTCATTATCATTATTTCTCAACATAAGAACATATTATGTCTGTTTAATCTGGATACTGATTCGGTTTTAAGTTAGTTTTACTGGCTGTTAATAAATTAAAATATAATTATTATTCTTAATCAATGTTATTCAGTTAAAACGTTTGAGGTTTTTAGATTTTTCAATGATAACCAATAACGATTACTATTTGTTTGGTTTCATGTTATATGAATTTTAGATAGTCTTAATGTCAAACCAATAATTTCATATTATAACTTCTAAAGGCATGAAAAATCAATTCTAGATAATAATTGAAGAAAAAAATATTAAAACAAATCATTCATTACAGTTTGGTCCATAGTGAATGGAAACATCTAAAAAGAATATTTTAGCTTCCAAGAGAATTAGAATCGTCATTTATAGTGAATATTTAGTTATATAGATGCACATGTATGTAAGGCTAGGGAAAATATCTATAAATTTTGATTTGATTCGTCATCCTTTTCATAATATCTGTAACTCTACAAAGAAAATCAAATACTCATATGCAATATCCGTAAAAATCGAAATAAATCAGAAATACTAAAAAATTTAAGAACGGATATTTGATACGATCTGGTATATGCTTATATATATACATATTTAATGAAGTATATATATAAGTTATATAAATAATATATTCTATATAAGTTTTACAATATTTTTGTTTACTAAATTTATTAAATTTGGCATTAGTATTCATAAAACGTACATAATTTTTTTGGTAACAAAATTTTATTATTTTAGTTTTTTTTTAATTTCTTTATTTATTTTAAAGATCGTAACCGGTTAATATATAATTTTCCGGACACTATATATCTGGATGTCTACGAATCAAAGCGAATAGGATAATAGATTATTCAGACAAAATATATTGGATCACGAATACTTCCAAAACCTAGGATATTCAATTCGTGCCCACTCTTACATGTATTTGTATGTAAAAAATATATAAAAGTGGTTGATAAATATATAAAGATACCGTAACCGACATTAAAAGATTTTTTTTTTCAAAATAACACATGAAATATAATATTCTATTAAAATATATTAAGTGAAATAGAATAAGCCTAGACAATACTGATTTTTTTGTGAATC